GCATCACGATCTGCTCTGCCAGCCATTGAAACGAAGGCTGATTACTGGACCACGTGGCTTCATGAAGAGTAAAACTATGGTTCAGTTTTATACTCCGGTTTCTTGAACAAAGCGCTTGACAGTGCATATGAGACTAATGTTCAAGAGGAGAATCCTACTTCCAAATTTTCTTCTGTCTATAATCACTGTTCACATTTTATCCTCTCTATTAACGCGCCAGTTATCTGAATCAGAAATGAATTCCATCAAATATAACAAATTTATTCTAAGAATACACTGTATCCTAATTACGGGGGAGGGGGTGTTCGATATGGCCAAATGTCCATTAAATTCAAATGTCCGTATTCTTCACCAACACAGCACGCGTGGAGGAGGGTTCAAATACCTGTACCGTAGCCCTGCGAAACGTAGGAGGGGACGAAAATGGAACCCAGTGCCTGAGAACACAACCGGGCCATCCTGTTCCTGGGGGATATAAATCCGGGGAGCTGGCCCTCCAGGTTGGGGAAGTCTCGAATCTGAGACAGTAAAATGGAGTCGTGAGCACCGAGGGACTCGGACCCGAGAATGACATCGCTGGCGAAGGCCAGCAGCAATTGTAAACGACAGACCCATCCTCTCGTTAGACAGGTTGTTACATAAGGACTATACCCGGAAAGGTTTAGCTGAAAAAAAAATGATGGTCGTGAGTCTCAAGGAGCTTAGCACCAACACGATCTGACTGGTGGTAAACAGCTAGTCGTAAAGTGACTCTAATTCTGACTCACCAACTCGTGCGCCGGATACTGTCGATTCTTATTTTTAAATTAATTCTAACTTTTGCTTTGCAATCAAGTTCGTCCCCTTTTGTCCATAATGTATTAATTAAAAGACATTTCAAACCCAACACAGCATAACACAAATTTAATTTGCGATATAACGATCTACGTAGCAGATATGCAGCAAGCTCGCAGCACCACTACTGACGAGGTACACGTGCACGACATATCAACCAGAATGTTACGGGGAAGTCCCGACATATCAACCGTACTGTTAAGGATAATTCCCGAACAACCAGAACTACTACGGGAAAGTCCTGAAGTATCAACCAGACTGTTAACGGGAAGTCCCAACATACCTACTAGAATGTTAAGGGGAAGTACCGAAGAATTTAGTCCGTTAAACCAAGGATTTACTCGATGAAATTTTGCTTTCAATCCTATGTCATTTTGGTAACGAACATAAGAGTCGTATTGTGGAAGTTGCAAGAAGCGGTGAAATGGATAATTTGAAAGTATCAGTATACTTTCCCGCATCTGAAGAAGATATATGTGTGTGGGGCACCTCGTGTTCTCCTGAGGAAGCAGTAAATGGTCATTTAGTAAAAGGGACCTCTCCCTCAAATGAGTTTCGAAATGTACCTCTTCCGTTCTGTGTAGCTGTGGAAGAAATAGTCGGTCGGTTGAGATCCCGAATATCGCGCATGAATTTTCGGTTGTGAACACTACATAGTCTTATACAACTACTGCGAAAGAAAAAATATCCACGGGAAAGAAATAACTTTGGTCATTTTTTTAAAAATATGTCTTACATGTATTGGGACTTTTTAAAATGCCTCTGCAGCAAGAGTTCAAGCGTTTTTTATATTTATGAACTCGGGCACAAAAAATGGATGGATCGGGGATTAGTACTGTTCAGCACAAGATTAAAAAAATAAACAAATGTATGGGGTTTCCCAGGAGAAAGGCTCAATATACTGGGAGGTCATAGTATCGGTCATTCGAAGCAAAAAGATATATGTACATTTGTCCCATTCCGAACGGTTTCCGAGACAGAGTTATGTCACTGTAAAGTTCCAAAACTGTTGATAAGAAAGAGATATTACGTGCTGTTTCTAATACCGGTACTTATTGTTCAAGTGACAAAGTTAGTACAGTTTACCCACTATAATACATTTCCGACAATTCCACAGTCAACATCAATGCACTTTGCAACTCGTGTGAAGACATGGCGTGTTGCTCCTCTGTATAGTGTACAGTGTACTGTACAGTGAAATAGCTCTATCTCGGTGCAACTCGTGTGAGGACATGGCGTGTTGCTCGTCTGTACAGTGTACAGTGTACTGTACAGTGAACTGTACAGTGAAACAGCTGTTGCTGGTCTGTACAGTGTACAGTGTACTGTACAGTGAAACAGCTCTATCTCGGTGCAAGTCGTGTGAGGACATGGCGTGTTGCTCGTCTGTACAGTGTACAGTGTACTGTACAGTGAAATAGCTCTATCTCGGTGCAACTCGTGTGAGGACATGGCGTGTTGCTCGTCTGTACAGTGTACAGTGTACTGTACAGTGAAATAGCTCTATCTCGGTGCAACTCGTGTGAGGACATGGCGTGTTGCTCGTCTGTACAGTGTACAGTGTACTGTACAGTGAAACAGCTCTATCTCGGTGCAAGTCGTGTGAGGACATGGCGTGTTGCTCGTCTGTACAGTGTACAGTGTACTGTACATTACAGTAATATGTTTCTATTTCGGAATGGGACACATGTACGCATATATACACTTTTTTGCTTAGAATGACCAATAATATGACCTCCCAGAATATTGACCTTTCCTCCTGGGTCACCTGTATAATGAGACTATTGTAAATGTTTACACATATAAAATCAATGTAACACATATCAACAGAACAAATCCTGATCGAAAGGAACAATATTAACAATGACATTTGTAGCTAATATTTTATCAGTCTCTCCTGCAAAAAATAAAACAGAGTCTTTATAACGATTTACTTTTAAATAGCTGTACACAGGGCACTGAGCAGGAACTGCACACGTTACATGACTTGCTACATATTAGACAACATGTAATGGACGTTTTGCTCGATACGCAAGTCTATATGAGAACTCCTCTTTGTGAATTTAGCATTCGTTGTGTATCATATGTTAATGTTAAATCAATTCGTTACATTAGAACCAGATTTCGTAACTAGACCTCAAATGTTACATAGACTCATGAAGTTTTCTACAAGTCTTTTATGATTTATATTTGTGTTCCATATTATATGCACTTATATTTTAGCGGGTAGAGCCGTTACAACGCAACGACCGCGTGATAAGCAAGTATACCAGAGCCGATTCTAGGCAACAGATCGGTAAACAAGTTCCCGCGGCAACGGATACGCATGCAACAAGAGAGGTACTGTTGGAAAATGTGTTTTATACTCGGTCCGTGAAATGGAGCTATAAGGAGGACAACTGAAGCAAAGAACAGTTCAGTTAGAAGGGAGCCGCCGTTCAGAGAGGACTTAAGTGCGGAAGCAGAAGAATAGTCATTGTTAGGATCCGTTACCAAGCAACTACTAGTGAAGACAATGCAGGTTGGAAAAGATTTAGGGTGTGCTGGAGTTACTTCTAAAGGGCGTAAAGCAGCGATGGCCTTAGAGTTATTTGTAGTCACGGCCTGTAAGTGGTCGATAAATCCAGTTATCAGAACCCTGTCTACAGCAACACATACTATGTGACAATATTTATTTAACGACACTGTCTGTAGATAAGACTAAATAGAGTCGGACGACAGAATGATTAGACTATAAAAATGAATCGGAAAGGATTATAAAGGATGTAGTTGTTGCTTAATTTAAGGTACGATCCATATTTTTTCTTCGACGATTAGGGGAAAACCATGGAAAATTCAGTCAGGATGGCAGGAGCACTCAGCTACTCTGAAACTCGATCACATTATTGTGCATACTTACAAATATACAAAATAAATAAATAACATCTTTCCAACGTCACTAAAATGGCTACAGAGAAAATAAAAAAGTTGAGTTATCGCTGTAACAGGCAGTGGCGGCCCACAGGTTTGTGAGACGTCGAGGCTAACATATTTTCTAGACAAATCGGCTCACAGATGACGGTGAGACCTTACGGGCCGGCCGCCCTTTAACGTCAGGAAGATTTAATTTCTTTTAGAGGCTGAATCGACCTCAGGACCATAGTGCGTCTGGAATGATTAGGTAAATTAAAATTATGCAGTAACTTCGAGAATTGAACCCGCGACCTTCCGGATTGTAGCCTAGTGTTCCAACCAACTACGCTACTGCGTGCCCCTACAGAGAAGGTAGCTGTTGCTAATTTTCCTGGCTCCAAACTGTCAAATACGCGGTTTCTACAGAAGACTTCCGTTGTTCCTAATTAAATATCCTTTGAATGAGAAAAGGTGGAATATTAAGACAATATATATTTTGAACTAGTAATGCGTTTGATGTTTGGGTTCTTACACCGTAAGCTACAGACTGTGCAACATTTTTCTGAAGCTGTGAGACATTTTAACTTTAAATCTGGGCCACCCTGTTCCTAACACAGGAACCTGTCCCTCCAGATTCGGGAAGTCTCGAATTTGAGAGGGTAAAGTATGATCATGAATTCCGCGGGACTCAGAATCCAGAATGACTGCGCGGGCGAGGGCCAGCAGCAATTGTAAAACACAGACCCATCATCTCGTTGGTAAGAGCCCCACATCAATATACCCGGCAACTCTCTGAAAGCAACAGAGATCTGGTGTTGGCTCCCAGATGGGGCTTCCCACTAAGGGAGACTGGCCGACTGACCGTCGGTCATAATATAACTTTGAGTGTGAAGCCACGCAGAACTGCATAACTAAATTATGCAGGACACAGGCAGAAGTAATCATACACCATGTAAATCCAAATGTACCTGCAATTGCACAAGAAGAAGCCAGGCATTGGAAATATGAGCCCTCATTAACAGGAAACCTCTGTATTTTTTTTTTCCTTGGCACTATAGCCCCAGTGGGCCTAGGCCTACCTCCATGAACTTCTCCGTTCACTTCGGCTTTTCTAGATCTTACACATTCGGTAGGACCCCTTGGGCGGGTGATCAGCTCGTCACAAGGCCTCTACCTGTACACAAACACAGAAAAACGCACACAAACATCCATGCCCTGAGTGGGATTCGAACCCATGATCCTGGTTTCCAAGCGAGCGAAGACAATACATGCCTTAGACCGCTCGGCTACCATGACCGGCGGAAACCTCTGTATAACTTGTATAAATGTTACTTAGTATAGAGCACTGACAAATGTTGTACAAAGTCCATAGTGACCTGAATGCCGTGACAGCACAGATATACTCGTGCTGAAACTACATTGCAACAAACGCGAAGCCTACACAGAAAGATAGTTCACTCCTTCCTTGATGAGATCTCTCGAGACCTGAAAGCAAGATTGACTGAGCTGGCGATGGCCAGAAGCAAAACAACAGACCGACCAACTCATGCCATGCAAAGCCGATGTTTTGAAAATGGCTTGGCAGTTGGTTATTAGGTCATGTGTCCCGTGGGACTTGGAACCAAGAATCACTGTGATGGCAAGGACCAGCAGCAATTTAGCAGTGTCAAGGCAGGCAGTTGCAGTAATGAGTTGAGAGTCAACAGTTCAGTTCAGTTAGTTGTGAGACACTCGCCAGCCGATAAGAACGTAAGCAACAAGCACTGTTGTCAACCGTTACCAGGCAACGGCTAGCGAAGACACAGGAGACTTGGCGTGTTCTTTGTTGAGAAGCAGAGGGCGCGAATTAATGAAAGGGTTATAATTACTTGTAGTTACAATTTACGAGAGCCCAATATAACAAATTATGATGCCAAACTCCGTTTCTAGTCGCTAACACGTGACAATACATACAGTAATGAAAAGAAACCTAAGTTAATATGTTGAGTTTACTAACAAACAGAAGTGATAAGTGCGTTTTGAATCTCAAAAGGAAGGAGGATATTTATGCATATTTGGATATGCTAGGAAATTATGCCTTTAATATCTTGAGAAATTAGCCAACATTACTTTCCAGCAACACTGTATGCGCCCCATATTTATGTGAGGTTCTACTTTCTCACTTATCTGCCACCGAATAAGTGATGGTTCGGGAAGACCGATATCTTGACCTTCCCGTTCACCGGATATCACTCCAGTTTCTATAATTCTAAATTTATGAAACGTGTCCTAGCTTGCATCGCTGCAACCATTAGAAAGGAACAACATGAAGGCTACATTTGCAGTTGCCCAGAGTACATTCCAATGGATGAAACAAGTAGTGAATTAAGGGTCAGACCTATGTCGAGCTACAGAAGGACATCTCGTCGAGATTAACGATTAACCCTAAAATTATAGGTCCATCTTACCTTATTGAAGAGATATCGGCATATGAAAGAGTGGCAACAGTGTGTTGCAACGTATATCTACTTAAGCATTCTGTTGTTATAAATCAAAATGATATTTTATTTCCGTCCTCAGAACATCATTATAATACTACACCAAGAAAGGATAAAATTGAAGAGCATATGAGCCTTCGAAAGCCTGTATAAAATTGTTTTAGTATCTCTGGCATAACAATTTAAATTTACTGGTTGTCCGACTTGGATGTTTTGGAAGCAATGTCTGCGTTGTATTTTCTCACAAAGCCCATTTATGGGTTCATTATTATTATCATAATGAGCATTCATTTTTCCCCCTGTTCAGAATTAAGCGATTAAAGTTATAGCCAATATTTGGTGTGCATTTTTGAGTAGAAACTCAATTTCTATATTTTATTAAGATAAATTTTAAGCCTCAAAATTCAGTTCACGTGTTCTGGGAAGGCGCAGGATATATTGGACAGGAAGTTACCTACAATGAAATTAAGCAAAGAGTACAGTATATTAATTGTAAGAACTTAAATTGTTAACAAAATGAAAGTGTCCTGATTTCGCTGCCACGGGGAATGTACGATGGAAAGTCAGTAAATATGTCACAAATGGAAGTAAAGCAGCTGTAATGGATGTAATGGGTTTCATATGTGTATCACTAGGTAGCAGCAGAATCAAGATTCATGACAGTCTTGGTAGCAGACGCGCACGTGCATGTTTAGAGGATTGTTTAAGTAGCCAAAATGGCGACCGAGCTTGAGCAGTATATTACCGAAGAGCAGAGTTCTGTTGTGAATTTTTGTGGGAAAAAGAACTCAATGCAAAAGAGATTGATAAATACATTATTCCTGTTTACGGTGAGAAGTTTTTGTCGCGTAAAGTGGTTCACAGCTGGGTGGCGTAAGTTTCCCTGATGACGAAGAAGGTGAAACGGAGGTGCGGAAGTGGCTGAGACTATGTTGCGGGTCTCGACTTACCGGCAAAGCGATGGGACAAGTGTATCAGTGTTGGCGGAGGACATGTCGAGAAATAAGTATTATTTTCCAGGTTCGAATATCACATTCTTTACGTTTCATACCTATTTGTGATCGATTTACTGACCCTCTCTCATATTTGCAGAGTTCCAGAATTATAAAATTTCAGTCATTCAAAAGAAATTTGTGATATGCTGATTGAATAATAGGGTGTGAGGAACTAAATTTCATTTATCCGACTCAGGATTGGGTCAAGGGTTGTACTCTTGTAAACAATGTAATAAACCTTCGAATTTCGTAAAGAGGTGGGACACTTCAAGGCCAAATGAGCAGATATTTGAAAATAATTCTGTTCTGCCGGGTAGGTTAGGCATTTATACCTATTTAGACAGAACAGGAGAAGTTTCTCTTTGTCGAGGACGTTTCAATTGCGGCTCATAATTCGCTGACGAAGAGGAACAATGTACGTTGCAACAGAGTGCATTTATAGATATACTCTGAAATGTATTTCAAACTTCGTCGAATCGAAGATGCCGCCCTCCCCTACCTAGAGAACGTTTATGATCTCCTGCACTCAAACGTTAGGAGGTAATTGCCTTGTGCATGAACGACACTTCTGGCAATTATGTCTCCTTTTCAAGAGGCTTCATCCTGTCAACTGGTTGTAATACAATATTTAAGCATGACGTTAAAAGAGCTCTCTGATATTCAGAGACAGAGGTCATTGATAGTACACCCTGTTATGTCAAGTTGCCTTGTTATGAAAATATGTTTCACGGTTGTGACAACATGTCGCCTTGTTATGGCAATATTTTCCTTTGTTATTACAACGTGTTTCCTTGTTAAGATATGTTACCAAGTTTATCAACCTCGTAGTCTCCACTTTACGGTTTCCGTTTTCGTTTTGGGGCAACGACACCATATACTTGGGTACGTCGGTTCCAACGTTTCAGAAGAAGATACTGCCTCCATCTTCAGAGCACCATGAAGATGCAGTATATTCCTGTGAAACGCTGGAAGTTAGATACCAGATAACGTGCTGTCGCATAGGAGACCACAAAAAGGAACTCCAGTCGAATCTTATATCCCATTTTCTGACATGCAGCAATCGCTCATCTTAATATCTTAACAGTTATGTGAAATGGGCAGCCAGTCCAAGTTCTGTGCTTGTAATTCATGATTGAAAATAAATTTGTTTAACCCTTAACAAAAAAATCACTTCTCTTGCTGCATGTCTTGTTCAGACGCAGAAGACAAGAGGAAAGACGACCAATGCGCACGACCGAATCATGAACGCTTAAACATAAAACAAACTTAGCAAAAGATATATGTCATTAACAAGTATGCAGATGTGGTCATCAAACTGACTGCAATGAGAATAATCGGGCACGAAAATTTTAAAATTAAAATACATATTTTACAAATTTTTTGACATCTCTCATTGGCTTAAGTGCAAGATTATTCTTTTCCTCCCCTTCCTTCTATTCCTGTTGTTCCCATTTGGAGCAGAGGTTATCAGTGAAACGCTTGTTTCACTTCAGTTTCCTAATCTTAGACACTCTATAGAAATCCTTGGACGGGGATCAGCCCGTCGCAAAACCACTACCTAACAAAAACACTTAATAAATACAGGCATTCATGTCTTGAGTGGATTCGAACCAAAGATCCTAGTGTTCGAGCGGGAGAAACCATTTCATGACTTAGACCTCGCGGCCACTGTGATCGGCGAAGTGCAAGATAAGGAGGGACATAAAATATTCTGTCTTCTTGGCAGAACATCTGCCTAATTCTCGCTAAGGACTTGCGTCAAATTTTATCAATTCCGATCGATGCCAAAACTGCATTCACTTTTTGAGCGTTATTGCGGGCTTATGTCTAGTTTTCATGTACTGAAAGTTACCAGGAGCTTCAGTCACGTCTCCACTGGACTTACGTTCTTACGACATTCTTTTTGGTAAGTTGTTTAATGATGCTTTCAGTACCGAAAGTGTGCAGTGTCAGATTGTGGGGTTACTGATGGAAGCGATTGTGGCCTAACCGAAGCATTATCCCACAATTAACCCCGAGGAACTGAGGAACACCACGAACAAATCTGGACGACGGGTGCGCTGGACGAGATTCAAACAAACCACCTCCCGGAAACAAGCCTGAGATTTTATTCCCAGATCAACTGTTTCGGAAAATCTCTTCTTGCTAAGAACAAAAGATTTAAAACCTCTTCATTTGGAAGGTAACGGATAGCAGTACTACTTCAAAAAGCGTATCAGGAGTTGAAAATATATTTCCCAGCCATTATATGAACTTGGCTTTTGGCCCAGATGGAAGAGGTCTTCATGCTGGTTCCACGTCGCTCTGGTCACTGTGATTACTTGCGTCGGAGGCGAGATTAGACCAGTGCGCCATGTTGTCCAACGCCCCCTCTGTCATGACGTTCAACTTCGGATTCATTTGGCCCAGAGACTAGAGTGAGGAAAATTAAAATTTATTAAAACATTTTAGTTTGCAATGTTGGCAGTTAGTATTTATATAGAGTGTCCCAAGGTGTAAGATCAATATTCTGGGAGGTCATAGTATCGGTCATTCTAAACAAAAATATGTAAAAATAGAGCCATTTCACTGTACAGACAAGCAACATGCCATGTCCTCACACGAGCTGCAAAGTGTATGGATGTTGACCGTGGAATTTTTGAAAACGTATTATACTAGGTAAACTGTATCAACTTTGCCACTTGAACAATAAGTACCGGTTTTAGAAACAGCACGTAATATCTCTTTCTTATAAACTATTTTGGAACTGTACAGTGAAATAGCTCTATCTTGGAAACCGTTAGGAATAAGACACATATACATATAAACTTTTTTGCTTAGAATGACCGATATTATGACCTCTCAGAATATTGACTTTCCTCTTTGGACACTCTGTATTCACAGTTATTAAAACTACATGCGACATTCTAAATAGATCCTTGACATGCCCCAAACTTTTAACTCGCTTGTCGGCGAAGTTAGTGTCAACTTTAGCAGATGGAGGTTGTCACATGGTCAGCCCAGACTCTGAAGCTGACCATTCGTCTGAAGCTAGTGTTAAGGTGAAGAAAGATGGAGTTATACCTCCACTCCCCCATATGTCTTCATGGCATAGTGCTTAAATAGTTAAACATAGGGACAGTTTTACCTTTTGATCAATAGACCGTCAGATTAGTTCTTCATATTATGCCACCCAGCAATCGATAAAAAAATCAAAATTCTGCAGCCCTGTCCAAAATGATTCGTAAAACTTATTTCTTAACTTGAATAACAAATTGGCCTGTAAGCACTGCTTAGGTCCTGGGGAATTTCCATGCTTGGAATTGACGTATCACTCCGCTTGTTTGGTATGTGACCCCGCCACAAATTCCTCTCTGTCTGATTATCATCTACAGAGTGTTCCTACGCCCCACCCTCCGGGAAAGTGCCCACACCTTGTAGAGTGGGAGGCAGATATCGGCGATCCAGCGGATCTGTAGCTGCGGAAGTTCGTGCTGTCGCTCCCGGTCCATGAGCGCCTGAGGCTCAATGTTCAGTTCCTGTCTCTCTTTGTCGCCCTGTACGATGAATTCAGCCGTGACCAGACGGGCCACCCGCTGCTGGACGTGCCAGGGCTTGGACGATGCGGCGATGTCCGATGCAGTCATCAGCATGGAGCGTAGCAGTTCCCTGTGTTCCTCAAGGCCCCAGCTGTACTGCCGGTTCTCCACCAGAGAAAAGAAGCTTGGCCTCAACCTGTAAAAGTCGACAAATTATTTCTGTAAGAAAGATATGTGATCCATAAGCTCATAATGTAGTAAAGTCTGTATAGATAAATATCTGTCTCATAATTTTCCTTTCCACAGTGGTCTAGAACAGGCATGTCCAACTTCAAATAGGTTGTGATCGACTTTTTAGTGTCAAAACTGCCAGTGATCTACCATCCCTCCTGTCGTCGTACGTCGCTTTAAGCAAAAATATTGGTAAAAATAACATGACACATGATGTTTGTTGTAAAAGCAACTAGTAACTGGGCTGTGTCTCTGACGTCTGTAGCTTCATCCAGTTGAAGGGAGAAAGCAACACAATTGGAACCATCTTTCAACAACTGTTCAGTTACGTTTCCACACATCATTTCTATTCGCCTCACAGTGGTGTTTCTTGATAATTAAAGTTCTTGGATAGCAGCTATGATCTCTTTATTATTTTTAAATCCGTCAAAAAGATTATCAGCTAATTCAAGAAAACACTCTTTTACAAATTCCTCTTCAGTGAAAGGTTTGCATTTTTTAATGATCAGATTGCTGAACTTGAAGGATGATTTGGTTGCATTGTTAGAAAGTGACCTTGGTTTTGCCACCAATTGTTGTTGAGCAGCTAATTTCGATTTAAGTTCTTTGAACTTAAATTTACGAATTTCACTTTTGGGTGAAAAATCAGCATCATACTTATTGCTATGGAGAGCATTATAATGACGTTCCAGGTTATCCTTTTTTGGCAAGAATACTGAGGCGTTGCATTTTTCACTATATTGAGGTAACTGTTTTTTTGACACACGCACACAGACGATTTCGAAATTAATAAATTAACGTGAGCAGAGCACTTACTGTCCCTTTGATTACACTGAGCTCATCCCCAACTCTATATTTGTTTAATGCACAGCAAAGCGACAAATCTCCACTAACAGCTAATATTATAATACGTCTCACTTGTTAGTTCAACATACGGGGATTCACAGTTGACTGGAGGGAGGGAACAAAGTGAATACCACATTCTGTTGATCACCCTTGCATCAAAACACACGCGGCTGACGATGAGTGATGAAACAAGAGCTCACGTGATAAGGATAGAGTAGGGACTTCCCCACAGTTCACTTAACACAAGCGTAAAGCAATTTTCACGTAAGCTACATAAGAAAAGAAAAATAGTAATGACTAATACGTATTTTCCCTTCAAAATCTGAATATAATCATATTATATTGCAAGAGAATTTACATGCTTTTCACGTATAATTTCCTTATAGACCTATGAGATCGACAAAATATCGTCCCGCGACCGACGCGTTTGACATGCCTGCTCTAAAACAAGGAGATGCTTTACCGCCACTGTTTTCAACGCTTCTTTAAAATAAGCCATTAGGAAGGTCCAGGGAAACCAGGTTGGAGTGAAACATCAACTGCTAGTCTATGCTTATGGCGTGAATCTTTCATTCATTCATCAGTAATCTGTTCACAGTCTCTTCCAAAACAGTTCCTCCACTTAATGCGATCTTCTGTTTTTAGAAAGAGACTATCCAGGAAAAGTGAAAATGTGGTAGTTTTTCCATTTGCTTTCCACATCGCAGTACAACAGCCGTTCAAACCACTCTGGTCACGCCTGTTGCTATACGAACTTGAACCATCTCGAGCATCATTTGCTCTGTGCTTCAAGTCGCTGCTGATGACGCTGCTTCCGGCATCAGTTTTTGGTTTTTGGTGTCTCTCTTCGTCTGATGCCTACCCTTTGACCTGTCCAGCAAGGGAGGCCCTGCCAGTAGCTACGCTACCGCTGGTATAGCTCTCAGGGTCCTTGGCATACTCAAACCCCCTCACCACGATAAGGTGGAGACACCAACGAAGGAGCGTGAATCTACTGGATGATAATATAAATACTATAAACAAAACACAGAAACATTAATTGACGCAAGTAAGGAGGTTGGTCTAGTAGTAAACACAGAGAAAACTAAGTATATGTTGCTGTCTCGTCACCAAAATGCAAGGAAAAATCATGGCATAAAGACAGGTAACAGATGCTTTGAAAATGTGACACATTCAAATTAATGAATTAATAGAAGGCAGAGGAAAATGGAAGTTCTAAGAAAAGAACATGCCGAGTGCCACTTTTAATTCCCAAATTGCATATGGACTATCCTCATATCGAATGCCGGACTCCGTGATGTGAAACCGGTGATTAGCCCGAGCTGTTACATGAACCCAGCATGCAGATAATTACTTTCAAATCCTTTCCTGTAATGTATCTTCTCCTTTACCCAGAGAAATACAGAGTTTCACTTACTGGAAATAAACGGACAAGTCTGTTGCGAGGATGCTGTGCTTCAGAACTTTCATCACCTTCGAGTAATTCTCCGGAGAGAGGCCAGAGAATATGTTGTGGCTCTGAAAATAAAGCAATTATCACTTTAGTCGGAACAATTACACGTTGAAGACTCAATTACTTAAAAGGGGAAAACGCAATAGAAAAACTAGTTCTGTTTCTTCGATTCACTTGAACATCTTTTCCAACCACTGAAGTCGATATTGGGACAGAATGAATGTCACTTTCACAGGAATTTAACTTATTATTTTGGGAAAATGGAGATGGAAAGTAACTTAATTTTGTTTTCCTTCTTGCGGCAATAAAGTCTTAGTTGTTAGGATAGTCTGGCTATGTAGCAAATGGATAAAAGAAATACGTAAACAGATTTTTGTTGCAAAACACCTTGGAATGTCTATGAACAATTCGAGAGCAGAGTGCTTTAAATGTTTCGACTTACCTCGCTGCTAAGGATCATAACTGCATGGTTGAAGTGGTGATGCTCCATTGTGTTTGTGGTCCCGTACAGTAACACCAGCGCAGAGCCCGTCCTGGAAAAGACTCAGGAAAGTAACGCCTTCCACAGGACACAAGCTAACGTATTACGAAACATCATGAAGTTACTATTATGGTTCTAGAGCCCTTTTTTTGGGCCGTGGCCGCTTTTTTAGTTTCTTGATCTCATACACAGTTGGTAGGACTCCTTGGACGGGGGATCAGCCAGTCGCAAGGCCGCCACCTACATGCACAGCAACATAAACACAGAATAAAAGCACAGATACAACCATGCCTTGAGTGGAATTCGAACTCACGATCCCACGATCCCAGCGTTCGAGAAGACCGTTCATGACTTAGACCGCGCGGCCACCGTGATTGACATGCATCATTTCACTAAATAACAAAATTTGGATACGAAACGAAAGTAAGGACTACATAAAAATATTTATTTCATTTACTCTCTACTTTCGTCATGCTGTCTAGCTCCCAGCATATATTTCGCCTTGTCAGTACTTATACAAGCAGGCTGGGTACCTCGAAACTTAAAAATATCCAACTTCCTGCTTGCCAAATAAACCATAACAACATGGCGGACACTGCAACATGTGACGTGACAGCGACACTAGCGCCACTCAATACAGGATTCCGAAATGCTCACTAGCATTAGGGATCCGAGACGTATAATCCTATCAAATTAATTTATTTACAGTGGGTTCTTGTGGTATATTTACGATACTGTTGGTAACTCGGATTTTTTGCGTCTAATGGTAAGATAATTTTTAAATGGACATGAATCGGGGGAAAACGGCCGTAATTTCATCGAAGTGCTATCCCGACATTTGTCTGGAGTGACTGAGGAAAACTACGAAAAATAACAATGGTGTCAACTGATTTCCCTACCGAGATTCGAAGCAAGCATCTCCTAGACACAAAACTAGAGCTTTATAATTACATAAACCTGTTCGGTTTACAAACATGGCGACGGCGCAAAACTTCAGGTTATGCCCAACAGATATGACGTAGACAGAATATATGCTTCAGCAATATATTTTTCACAAAAATAAAATAAATTAAGGATAACACTTGCACAGTCAGTGAAGAGTAAGGCTTACTTCTCCTGGAAAGCGTTGTTTGTTCCTCGGTGGTCCAAGTCGTGACATAAGCAGCCGACGAACATCCCCAGCACTTCAAGGTCGCTGAATGTACCCTTCATCTCGCACCCCTGTGGCAACAGAAGGCGAAGCAATGTCAGGTTTTAACCACTTGTCTGGCAAAGCATCAGAAAACAAGAAGTTCTGGGAAGAACTAATAGCTTATTTTCCTTTCACTTCAATTTAAGTATTTTATGAAATTAATAAGAGAACTTTGGTATACATGCGTAATAACGTCAATAGAACAACACAATTTGAGAGGCTGTAGTGTTGGCATTACTGATGGGAGTGATTCATGAAGTGCGCCGTTCAGATGATCTCAAGTGGCATGATATACCTGCCAAGTTTAATGAATATCGGTTCAGGCATTCAAGAAATATTAAGGCTATTACCTCAACAATTTGAGAGGCTGTAGTGTTAGCATTACTGGCAGGAGGGATTTATGGAGTATGCCGTTGAGGTGGCCTCAGGTGGCATATTATATGAACCAAGTTTCATAAAGATTTGTTCATGAACTCAAAAGTTGTTATGGAGATATTCACATAGACACAAAGACACAGAGACATTGACACACAGAAAGGAAGATGAATTCATAAGCCTAAGTTACTTTTAAACTAAGGAAATTAAGCCAAAAAACCCAGTAGCAGCCATAATCTGGGCACGACACGGAATCAGACAGACCCCGTGACTAAACTAAGAATGTGATATAGCGACACAGTTCAGGACTTTGATAGTTCAAGGAGTGAAACGCACTGTAGCTTTCCTGAAAATATTCTCTTCAGAACAAAAATTAAAAGTAAAGAAACGGTAAAGCTATCCTTGTAACAGGCAGTGGAGGCCCATAGGGTTGTGAGAAGTCGAGGCTCCCGCGTTTTCTAGACAGTCGGCTCACAGATAGCGTTGGGGTTTTTAGCCTTATTCGCCGGCCGCCATCTAGACCCCAGGGCCATAGTGACGCTTGAAGGATTAGGTCAATAAAAGCAAATTAAATTCCAATAAAAATATTCGTACAGGAAGTAACGGAAAGGTGGAGAACATTGCAGAACGAGCAGCTTCATAATAATATTTACACTTTTCAGGGAAATCAAATCAAGATTAATGAGAAGCATGTGTGGTTCTTATGGTGACTATTCCGGGTTGTGGCGCCGTGTAGTCCGGAGGCAGCCGGACATTCCGAGGAACTTATCGCCTCAAGCTTCAGACTCTAAGAATAAGCCAAGCAAGAAGCCAGCAGAAGCAAGCGACAAGCTTACGTTGTGTTGCACCATCCCAATGCGTCTCACATGCACACTTATGTTGAAATCTTAAAATTCATATTTTTAAATTGTTTTTCACATCACTGTGGTACACTACATGTTTCGAACGATATGGTCATCAGATGCTTCGAAAATTTCTGCTCTAAACAGCTGCATTTCCGCCATTCAATACAATTTCAAATATCTGAACACGGCACGTAAGTGGAATCACCCAGCACTGCAAACGCACATTACAGGGGTGTATAAAAGAGCATATTTTGGAATTGTTGAGGAGCCCCACCTTCCGCACACAAAATGAACAAAATAACAGAAAATATATCAGAATTCAGCAACAGAATATAATACTCTAATTTCAAAGTCTGAAATAAAATATTAAGTGCATTAAACCCTCGCTAATCTGGATTAATTTGGGGATGGGTCATCCGCATTAAGCGATAATCCGAATTAATAAAACAAAACATAGCCCTAAAAGATACAAATAAATCTTAGAACACAAATAAATGAAAAAATATCAATGTAGAATTTTTTATTTAAAAAAAAAGAAGACACTAGAAACTGGAATCCAGGGTCGCCTTCATCCAGCTCAAGCTAATCTTGGATATTTCCTTGCGTTGTTTCAGTCTCTCCAGTTACCCTCAACACAGTCTGAAAGTCTTCTTGCATTAATCCCTCTTGCTCCTACCTCCCACGTGTCGTTAGAAGTGTGTACTCAACTGTAAATAGAGTCTTTAATGTAAGATTTGAGGCTTTCACGGCGGTGACTATGAAGAAAGCAGTCGTCTGGGATTTGACACCGTGTATATGTTGTGTTAACCGACGTTTCGGAGGAACGTATCGCCTCCATCTTCAGGGTAGAAGGAAAAATATAAGNTCACGGTCTCTTCGCTTGCGGATTTCTTATATTTTTCCTTCTACCCTGAAGATGGAGGCGATACGTTCCTCCGAAACGTCGGTTAACACCACATATACACGGTGCCAAATCCCAGAAGACTGCTTTCTTCAGAGTCTTTAGTGTTTCATATTTCAATCCGGATTAACTGTAACCGGGTTAACGAGAGTTTACTGTAATATCACATAAACTAAAAATCAGTTAACGAGATTTGAAATTGTCATGGGGACGGTGACTATAAATACTATAATTTGTGCTCGTGAAGTCATGTAGTCTGGTAAAAGTTTACGGGAATTTCAGAGGAATGCAATGTCTCTATATTCACCAAAGAAGGTATGTTAATTACATTTCTGTAGTTTAAACAAAACTCACGCGACCTGCAACAAACGGATTACCACCAGTCAGTGTTTTGTAGGCTTCGTAATAGTGTATACAACGAAATTAAAAAAAGGGGCAGTCGGTAGGGCGAATGGCTACGGGCTGGAAGAACGTTGGATTGCAGGTGAAGTCCCTTTCCTTCCTTCCTTGGCACTACAGCCCCAGTGGGCCTAGACCTACCTCCATGAACTTCTCCGTTCACTTCGGTTTTTCTAGATCTTACACATTCGGTAGGATTCCTTGGGCGGGTGATCAGCTCGTCACAAGGCCTCTACCTGTACACAAACATAGAAAAACGTACACACACAAACTAAATATCCATGCCCTGAGTTGGATTCGAACCCACGATCCCGGTTTCCAAGCGAGCGAAGACAGCGCATGCCTTAGACCGCTCGGCTACCGTGACCGGCAACTTTACCTTTACCTTTCACTTTTATTGGGCACGGTATATTTCAGGCGGTTAGTCGTCGGTTTCCCAGGTCACGTCTCGTGAGATCTGTGGTGGACAAAATGGCACTGACGCAATTCGCATTCCGCCTGCTCACCAGGTAACGTCTCGTGAGATCTGTGGTGGACAAAATGGCACTGACGCAATTCGCATTCCGCCGGCTCACCAGGTCAGGTCTCGTGAGATCTGTGGTAGACAAAATGGCACTGACGCAATTCGCATTCCGCCGGCTTCCCAGGTTCATTAATCATCATAATTTTCGACGTTACATAGTTTGAACTTTGACAGCGCCTTTAAATAAAAAAAGTCCGATATCCACAGTCCGTGTCGCTCGGGACATTGCGTAATATAAAGCAAGAAGACGACGATACAAGAAATAACAAAGAAGTGTATTGATTTTCTTATAGAGATGTATAGGAGCTGTAGGCAAGGACCGCCTCTAAACACATGCTCATGTACAACACTCGTTCTGTACGTGGAACGCAGCCGACAGGCATATTCTGAATATGTGAGTGTTGAGCGAACTGGGGTCCGAAGCAATATTTAGATATTATTGTGACCTGATACCCGAAGATCGAAATAGTGAAACCAGATGAGACGTCGATTAGTAGACAACGGCTCGGTAAACAAGTTTCCGCGGTAACGGATAAGCAAGCAACAATATAGAAATTATTGGGAAAGATGTTTTCCATTCGGTCCGTGAAAAGTAGTTATAAAGAAAAGTTCAGTTGAGAATAGTCAGTGGAAATATAAGAGGCTTAAACTTGGCGGTGATCAAGCATACGACCGCTCAAATGACTAGACAGCTGTTGTAGCAGGAGCTATTAATGAGAGGGCGTGATCTGCTGTACTGAGCCCGGACTGACGGAAGCCTTGTATATGCTGCATATACATACTAAACATGTAAAATGTAAATTGTACATACTGACAACATACTTAATTGTAAGATTTGAGGCTTTCACGGCGGTGACTATGAAGAAAGCCTGCTTTTACCGTTTCTCACGGTCTCTTCTCTTGCATATTTCTTATGTTTTTTCTTCTATCCTGAAGATGGAGGCGATACGTTCCTCCGAAACGTCGGTTAACACCACATATACACGGTGCCAAATCCCAGAAGACTGCTTTCTTCAACATACTTATTACTTCTGATTGTGACTCTGGCAAACGACAGGCCCGTCCTCTCGTCAGAGAGAGAGAGCGCCCACACCAACAAACCTCCAACTGTCTGACAGTAATAACGAGCTGGTCTTACGCAGCAGATGGGCGCTTTAAGGCTCCCACACACCAGAGCGATCGTGGTGGCGGTGGCGGTGGCGGTGGCGATAAAGTCATCTCACACCAACAGCGCGGTGGTAGCGATCAGTTTGAAAAATCGCGTAGACACAACATCGTAAACGGCGCATCGATTATCTCGTCTGGAAGAAGCGTTACTTTTGGCAGGGGCAGTTGATGATGTGGAGCAGCAGCAAGCAATGTAATTATTCGTTTTACTGTGTATAATTGGAGAAATTTGAGAAGTTATTACAAATATTAACATCACAATTATAATATTTTTCAAAAAGAAGCGTAAGAAAACGTGGATTCACGACCTCAATCTGCTTCGTGAACATGAAGAACTTCATACTTTATATCGGAAACTGCGGCAACATGAAGAACGGTTCTATATTTACTTTCGGATGCCAATTGAATGTTTTGATGATCTACTGGACCTAATTAAGGGAGATGTTATGTCATTTTACTTCTTCAATAAGTTGCTCTGTTGTTGTACTCATTGTTCATGCTAACATACAGCGACGCAGGCAGCGGTCAAACTCGACAAGCTGCATCTGATCGCCACCGCGGAGTAGAACGCTGCACTGTCCGGAACACTGCCTGCAAGATCGCTGCCTGTCTGAAAGCGTCTGTAAGTTCAGCAGGAATTATCTGACGGCCACCGCCACCGCGATCGCTCTGGTGTGTGGGAGCCTTTATTCCAAGACAGACTGGCCGATTGACCGTCGATCGTAACATAACTTTGACCGGAATTCCAAGTGAGCAGTTAGTCGAGAGCTGAGCCATACAAAGAAGGCTGACAAGTTGGCTCTACGTGCTCAGTTGGCGGTAGGGCTGTGAAGAGAAGACTTTACATGCACTGTAATTAGCGAGACTGTTGTAGTTCCTGTGTTAAAAGCCGCTGCCAGGAAACAGGTAGTGGAGACTATAATAGACTAAGAGCACTAGTTTGTGTAACAACGAACTGTAAAATGTGGAAATAGCGACAGAGTTATTGTTGTTTGTAGTACGACCTGTATGTTTTCAATAAATCCAATAATCCAAAACCCCGTCTATAGACACGAACACCTAAAACGTGACATTATTAACTCCTTCATTGCTAACGACAAAATGTTTCGTCACTACCCTGTGAATGTTCCTGAGAAATTTAAGCGAAGATAAAATTTTCTGATATCTCTTGTCTGTGTGATATGTTGCTGCCGACCCTTACCAGGTCAGTCATTCTTGGTCTTGGACCCCATGGGACCCGTGACCCATATTTTTCTGTCTCACGAGTTCTCCTGCCATCTCTTGATAACCCGCGCCAACAATTTATGATCTTTGAATCTCCACAGAACACACAGGAGATGGGTTTTCTGTTCCGGAAGAGAATTTGGCGCTGAAGGATTCAACAATATCTACTTGTATTTCTCATGTACATCAAGGAGAATTTGTTTCCACAAGAAATAAGTTAAATCGGCAAACATTTACACTCTTTAACAGATTTTACGTGATTTTGCGTACAGTACAGATATATCATCTAACGTACCTCCAAGTGGGTGTGAGAAAGGCGACCCCAAATTTGGTTAAGTTCTTATCTTAGCACACAAAAAGCATAAATCATAGTTTATGAAAATGAGTTGGAATTAGTTCCTACATTAATGCAATGCACACTGTCACGTATCCGGTGTTCCGTGATTAATAATAAAGGGTTTTGGATTAGATGATGGCCCATCAATCCTTATATGCGTCACAATGTGTACAACCGCTGCCTGGGATGTGATGCCGTGTGCTCTGGAATAAATTTACCAACGTTTCGGCTGTCCCTCCTGCCTCCACCTTCAGTGCAGAAGAATATGCTAAGTGGCAATAGCCCTGGACGCATTGTCTGTGAGCTAAATTAAACTTATCGGAATCCTGACAGTGTCCTGTAAGACATTGTTAAGAGCGTCCTCTGTCAGAGCGCCTGTTGCCTACTCCAGCCCACTGAGAATGTGGCCAGTAGGCAGCTTCGCGACGGACACAGCTTATTTCAAGCCTTTTCCCAGAACTGAGCACCCAGTGTCCTTACTTGGTAAGTTGCTCAGTCTAAGAAACTCTTCCTCCCGTCAGCCGGCTGTGTCTAACGCATGCGCTGTATGTATGTGGCGCCACTGGCTAGATACGACCACTGAGATCGGAGAAGCCTTCAGCCAAACCCACGTGCAACGCCGGTAGTTTAAATAATGAGAAAGCAGGTTCTTCCGAAACTGATTAACTGACTACCATGTAGGAGTTAAGGTTCTCAAAGCAGTGGTTATGGGACACAGAGATGTGTAGTCCGTTGCAAATTCAAGGCACTTCTTGATATCTGCTTCGTGTTGGCTTCTTAGACCCTCAAGATATCGGCGATATTTTCCCTCCGAAACGTCGTTTGTTTCAACGGACTACCCGTTCTATGTCCCATAAAATAGACTTCGTCAACTATCTACCAGATTACAAGGCGTCACAGCCCATAAGAGACAGTGCCTAGTGTTAGATACCTGAAAACACCCAAATGTTACAATTCGAGCCACTCCGCTTTCCGGTTGGAGTTTCATTTGTGTTTTTTTTCCTTCAGGACTAGGCCACGCATGTGCTGAGGAGTTCCTAACTTTTCGACAAATCTGGCAGCTGCCATATTCATGGTTGTTTATTTCTTGAGGCTATTTGGCAGTGATTTCAAGATAGGTATTTTCGTCGGAGCTGAAGCCTAGTCAACATCCCTCATCTCTGTCCAACTTATAACTTCGCATACACATTAATTTGCATGTGACGTCAGAACTCGGAATCAGACCCTGTCGACTGCTGAAGGTTTTCCACCTTCAACTGTAGAATATTTGCTTTGTGCAAGGTTCTCCGAGTGGCAGGTAATTCCAGTTAGGTCCATGTGACTTCCGATGAAAGAAATTTCATCAATGGACACTCCTGCGAATTTGAATTCATGCATAGCGATTTTCATGCAATAAACTGCGACAAAAACTTAAAAAAGTTTTAACACGAAACTTCTGGAACACTAGGCACACACATGCACACACAGACTGGATGTACTCAGCGCCCAGGCAAGTCATACATGCATACACTCACCATGAGAATTGCAAACATGACTTGGGCCACATTGAAGGCATGCCTCCAGTTGTGGTATGGAACATCTCTGTAGTTCCTCTTGACCGTGATCAGGAAACGGTACAGCGTCTGCAACATGAGCATTTCGCTTAGGGAAGAACAGTAACTTCAACTGTATGTACTTCCTGAGGCTCTCAGTAGTTCAGAGTGTACAGCATACACTGGCGCTATAAATGGTAAAGAAGATGTAGAAGGAGGGTCCAATCGATATTGTCACGTGATTCAGTGACTATAGACAGGTTTTGGATTGATGACCGGATTTATTGGACTCTTTTGATACAATGCGTGACTACACTTTTACAGTTTACTGTTACACACACTAGTTTCCACAGTCACATGTTCACTGCCGTTGCTTGGTAGCGGTTTTCCAACGGCGGACGTTCCCCTTCCTCTGGGTTCTCGAATTTTCCCGGCTTCATCTACCGGTTTCTAACAGCAAGAGCTCACAGCTACTGAGCCCCAGTGCTTATCTCACTAACTCACTCGCTCACCATCTAACTCTACTCACTGACTGACCTTCTCAGAGTTAAGAGTCAGAGTCAGAGTTACTTTACGATTGGCGGTTTATCGCCAATCAGTTCATCTTGACGCCAAGCTCCTTGAGGACCCCGACCAGAGTTCTTTTTGCAACTGAACCCTTGCGGTAATAGTCCTTTAGTATCAACCTTTCTGACTTGAGGATAGGTTTGTTGGTTATGAAGATGCCTCGCCTTTGTCAAGTGTACGTATTGCACGTATATCATGTTACTGAAAATTATTCCTTGTGCAATATACACAAGTACTCTGCCAGTATCTGCACTAACTTGTCCCACTTATAACATCTCGGCACGGACCGCACAGAAAACCCCGTTCTGTTGCTGCGCAATTGTTGTTTTCAGTCTGCTAGGGTTCCCATGTGATCGCTACTCAGCCATTGCCTAACAACGGAGTGTAGTTATTTGTTTCGTGGTCACTGCCTTGCTGAGGGTCTGCATATGTCACAATATATGTGTTACAGTCATTAAGTTCGTGGACTGTGGTTTTATCGCGTCTTCTTCATTTCAAGGGGAAAGCTCTAGATCGCATCAAGGGGAGGAACTGTTTTGGAAGAGACTGTGGATCTGTCGTCTTGATAGATTACAGATGAATGAATGAATTACAAGGCATACACTTACACAGATCCTCATCGGCCCTCAAAATAGTTGCCGTTGGCCTCTATGCAAGTCTGCCAACGTTGATATAGCTGCCGAAAATACTGTTGAAGCATATTGGCAGGAAATTCCCGTACTGCATCTCTTGTGGCACTGACGACCTCCTCGGACTACTGAAATCTACGACCACGTAACTTTTCTTTCAAACGGTGAAAGAGAAAGAAATCGCATGGTGCGAGATCAGGTGAGAACGGAGGTTGTGGAAAAATGGTGACCTGTTGCCTTTCCACTTCCTCTTGGACAAGAAGAGAGCGATGTGCAGGGGCGTTGTCGTGTATCAACAGCCAATTCTTCCTTTGCCAAAGCTCAGGACGCTTAGGACGAACTGAATCGCGTACACTGATAAGGATACCCTAGTACCTGTCCTTGTTTACAGTTGCTCCGTGTGGGATAAATTCCATGTGAACAATTCCCGACGAGTCGAAAAACAATTCAAGCATTACCTTACTTTTGACCTGTCCTGCCGCGGTTTCTTCTTTCTTGGCGATGATGGCGATTTCCAGGTGGCCGATTGTCGCTTCAGTTGCTGATCGTAAAGAAAACACCGCCTTTCGTCTCCTGTGATGATCCGGTTGAGAAACGTCTCATCTTCGTCAGCACTACTTATCAGACCACCACAAATGGTCATGCGATTGTCACGTTGGTCTTGCGTCAGGATGCGTGCAACACAGTGCTCGGTAACGCGCGACATGTTCAGGTCATCAGTGAGAATTTTGTGGCACATACCTTGGCTTATCCCTACTGCTGCTGTAATATTATCTATCAATTGTGAGCGGTTGGCACGTACCATAGTTGCAAATTCTATCTTGCGTTCAGTTCTGACCGCTTTTGGCCGACCACTACGCTCATCATCCTCCAAGCTGTCTCTCCCCTGTGCAAAACGTCGGTGCCACTTAAACACGGCACTGCGGCCAAAAGCTTCTTCGCCGTACACTTGCTTCATCATGTTAAACGTTTCACTAGAGGATCTGCCTAGTTTTTGGCAGAACTTGATGTTTGCTCGTTTTCAAACTGCCACATTTTCGATTTCCGTCTCACTGAGTCACGATAGACAGTGTCGCAGCCGAGATTGGAACGGAGTACCCCTTGTAAGCGATTCAGAGCTTTATCGCTGCGCCAGGACGTTCGGTTGATTTGCTGTACTCTCCCGGCATGTGCCTGGAGAGCCTGAGCAAGATAAAGAGAAATCATAGCGAGGATAAGCCGGGCTCAGGTTCCCGTATACTTTAATTTCGTTGTAAAGGGTGATTCTAAATTACTGTTGGAATTTCAGTGGCCTACAATTTTCAAACTTTACGTGCCATGAAAGGCGCGAATGTTGATTCTATAGGCAATAAAACTTCTTCGGTTATAATCTCACATTCCTTAAAAATTATTATTTCGTTGTTTCCGGTTTGAAAATTATAGGCCACGGGAACACTGACAATAATTTATAATCACGCTGTATAAAAGATAGATCTGATAATACGTTATTGGGCTATCAGCAGTATTTTTTTTCCTTGGCACTACAGCCCCAGTGGGCCTAGGCCTACCTCCATGAACTTCTCCGTTCACTTCGGTTTTTCTAGATCTTACACATTCGGTAGGACTCCTTGGGCGGGTGATCAGCTCGTCGCAAGGCCTCTACCTGTACACAAACACAGAAAAACGCACACACACAAACTAAACATCCATGTTCTGAGTGGGATTCGAACCCACGATCCCGGTTTCCAAGCGAGCGAAAACAGTAATGCCTTAGACCGCTCGGCTACCGTGACCGACATCAGCTGTATTACCTAGTTAAAAATTATTTAACTCTCAGGTACCATGTGACATATTACCCTGATGCTGGGGACAAAGTTGATACCTGAAAAATCAATAATTTTTAACAATTTACATGGCTGATAACCCGGGAATATTTTATTAATTTGAGCCCCCCTTGACATCTTCAGATCTTACTTCGAATGGTTTGTTACATGTTACGATACAGCTCTGCATTAAGATGACTACGCATCAACATGGATTCCTGCTTGGACAACTCTGAATTCACTTCTATATTAGCCTCCTTACGAGTGTCACGAAAGATTCTGTTTATCTTTGCTGTTCTTAGCCAATTAGGCACTACGCCATAAAGGCGTATGGAGGAGTAGATATGCTGTAAAAAAGGAAAGTTATCCCTGTACCAGGCCATGAAGGCCCATAGGGTTGTGAGACGTTCAGGGTCCCACATTATCTAGACAATCGGCTCAAAGATGGCAGTAAGGTTATCAGCCTTACGCGCCGGCCGCGCTTTACTCCCCAGGAAAATTATTTAATTAATTCCTGGTACTCATTTCTGTTAGAGGCTGAGTCGACCCCAGGGTCATAGTGCGGCTGGTAAGATTAGGTGAATTGGAAAAAATCCAGTGACCTCATTGGAACTTGAACCCGCGAACTTCCGGCTTGTAGCATAGTGCCTCAGTGTATAGATACATATTTTCTTGACCTCGGCACTGGTTGGAGGTGAATGGTCAGCTTCACACACTGGCTGCTTTACCCCTGGGGAAAGAGCCCCTGTACCAATTGGATAGGAGATTGGGTGGACCCCAGAGCCGGTCTGGACGACGTGGAGAACAGAAAATTCTTGACCCTACCGGGACTCGAACTCCGATCCCTCGGTTGTCCAGTCCGTAGCCGGTCGCTGTACCGACTACGATAACCCGGCTACCTTTGCTGCACTTATGATAAATATAAATGTTACCAGAACCAAAATAAGCGGCATGGCAAAAGAACTTACCTCCTTCTCAATGCTGAATTTCTTCACTAACCCGAGATCAAGAAACATGCTCACAGCTGCCAGGAGCATCTCGTCGCTTTCTAGGGAGAAATCGTCAAATGTGAGGGAGTAAAGGTTCAATTCATCGGCGCAAGGCACTGGCCTGTCCTGAAATCACGCAGCACAGTTACAATAGAGAAATGTTTATGTACTGACCAACACGGTACAAAACGACACTTATATGTTAACTTTGTATAGTGGTTACTGCATGTAAACGTTAAAGCTTTTCCTGAACAGGCCTTGAAGGCCCATAGGGGTGTGAGAGGTCGAGGATTCCACATTTTCTAGACAGTCGGTTCACAGATGGCAGAAAGGTTGCCAAGGCTTACGCACCTGCCGCCCTTTATCCCCCAGGAATCTTCCGGGTACTCATTTCTGTTAGAGGCTGAGTGGATGCCAGGGCCACATTGCGGCTGGAAGCAACAATTGGTTGTTACGTTAACCCAAAAGTAGATAAGTTTAGAGCTTCCACCTCATCGTTACGCTACTTTTTATATATATTGTGGCATATCTGCTCAACGCAAGAACTGTGGAGCCAGGGAAACAACCACTGATAGGTAACGGCTGTGTAACACGTAACAATGCAGTAACCGTTGGAAGCGGTGATTTCTGGGCGGTCCCTGCCAATGTTATGTAACGGGGATCTCACGCAGCAAGAATTAGTCGAGTTAGATAGGCATCATCTGCTTTGCAAAGCCTGAGGACTTGTGTGTAGTACAAAAGGAATAATTTTCAATATGTGCGAAATGTACACTCGATGAAAGGTCAAGCATATTCATAGGAGACAACCCCACCTTCCCGTCAGAGAGGATGTTACATAAGGACTATTACCGCGAGAGTTAAGTTGGGGGAAAAATCTCTATTCGTGGGCTTGAAGGGCTTTACTCCAAGAAAAACTGTTGGAGATAAACCGCCAGTCGTAAAATAACTTCAGAGAGCCCTGAGACAGCAGTTAGGGGAGTAGGGGATTAGTGTAAGATGGCCGCCAGTCTACGAGGACGTGAACCCAGAAGCAAGGGAACGTCCGCAGTTGGATGCCGCTGCCAAGCAACGTGATTGAGAATACTAGTCTGTGTGTGGTGGTGTTCTCTGAAGTGTAGTCACGAGCTATAAAGGTGCGCAACAAATCGAGTTACCATTCCCAACCCCATCTATCGTCACTTAACACGTGACAATACACGTATATACGTAAAATGAAGGGAATTTGTTGAGTGTTGTATTTGTTTAAAGCAGCAACAAATAAACACCGGAAACAAGTACTCAAGTCACTGTCATGCCGTAAGAGAATAGCCTATTTACCTCAGGTCTATTCAATGCCCCGGTCCCGTTCAGTGTCTGCTGATGCCTTGGAATAGACGTTTCTACTATTGGCAGAATTTCCAAACCACATTATCGCCACATTCAGCATCCGTCCTCATATTTCCCTTGTAGGTGGATATTAAGTAATTTCACAATGCTATATCAACTACAGCTGTTATCGTAGAATTATAGGAGAGGATGATCGATTTCGGTGAAATTGAAAGGTCTGAGGACGAAGCGGTCGTGGTCGATTTCAGGGCTCAGAGTTAACTAATAAGGACTTAGAAAACGGGATTTTTTTTTTTCGTTAAGACAATCGGTGTAAGGATCCGAGATTCAAACCGGGACCCAATATTCCAGATGAGCAGAATATGGCGTACGTCTTTTGCGTCTAGAAGAAATGAACGCGTAGTTGTGGGAACCCAAGTAAAACTGAAGTAGAAGAGAAAATATTTGGAAGAGTAATAAAAGAAAAGCCGGAGAAAGAAATTACAAGGGAAAATAAGAAAAATACGGAGCGGCTCTACCGTGTGTGAACAATATATTTGTGCTGAGAGAGTGCAGAGAGAAATTCGCCAGGAAAAAGAAAGTGTTCACAAGTTCGCACTCGTGTATCCAAGGAAAACATACGAATACAAATGCGAGAGGCTGTGAGAAGCTGTAATATTTCAACAGAGCCGAGTTAATGAAGCTTCTCCACACAAATATAACGACACGACGTGACGTCGTGCCATAGCTCAGGCTACTAGTACCCGGCTTCTCACCGCGACGGTCCGGGTTCAATCCCATGTCAGGTTATGTGGGATTTGTGGTGGACAAATTGCCACTGAGGCGAGTTTTCTACGAGGGTTTCGGTTTCCCATGCCAATTCTCATTCCACCGACTGCTCCATACTCATCATTATCCATCATCCGGGACTGGTACAGTAAGTAAAATAGTGGCCGACGTACCCAGTGGGCTCAACCTCAACCCATCCCAAGAAACTAAAAAAACAAAAAATAATGCATGGGGTAGGGAACGGACTCAGGATAGCTGCAGACTAGCAAAAGAAAAAGTAAAACGATACCTGTAAAAGAAAGGCTTTAGAAGTCCATGGGGTTGTGAGACGCCGAGGCTCCAATATTTTTCTACACAATCGGCTCACAGACGGCGGTGAGGTCAGCCTTACCTGCCGGCCGCCTTTTACCTCAATGAAGATTCTTGGCACTCATTTCTGTTAGAGGTTGAGTCGACCTTAGAGGCCATAGTGCGGCTGGAAGAATTAGATCCAATGAATACAATGACCTCATCGGGAATCGAACCCGCCAACCTTCCAGCTAGTATCGTAGTGTCGGAACCAACTACTCTACCGGGTGCCCCTGTAATTACAAGTAAATAGCGATATTGGCGATACTGAAAATAATGACCGGCACAAACAGCGTGAACCTTCATAACTGATGTTCGTTTCCTTCTGAATAAGGGCAACACTGCGATGAATCAATAGCGTTTGATTGACTACGCATAAGAAGAACAAGGACCTGCGTAGCCCATTTTTGTGTCAGAGCATGTGGGAACTGGTAATATTTACAGAAAGACAGGAAAGGAGGTCTGACGAATGTTGCTGATTACGAGCGCTCTGAGCGTCCTTTGTCTGTAGCTTGTGTTGCAAGTTAAGGAACACATCCATCAGCGCATACAGGACAACTGAAATGCTTTATTCTGATGGAATTACGAAAAGTGAGAACCAGTCAAGTGGGAAGAAGAATGATTGCGCAGAATATATCGCGGGTTCGATTCCCGATGAGGTCACTGAATTTCTCAATTGACCTGACCCTTCTAGTCGCACTATCACCCTGGGGTCGACTCAGCCTCTAACAGAAATGTGTACCAGCAATCTTCCTGGGGGGTAAAGGGTGTCCGGCGCGTAAAACTGACAACCTCACCGCCATGTGTGAATTGACTGTCTAGAGAAAATGTTGGAGCCTCGACGTCTGAGATCCATATGGGCCTCCACGGCTTGTTATAGGGACNCCTCTAACAGAAATGTGTACCAGGAATCTTCCTGGGGGGTAAAGGGTGTCCGGCGCTTAAGGCTGACAACCTCACCGCCACGTGTGAGCTGACTGTCTAGAGAAAATGTGGGAGTCTCGACGTCTGACAACCATATGGACCTCCACGGCTTGTTACAGGGATATCTTTACCTATTTTTTACTTGTAATTATATTTAGCGTCTCTCATACCATTTTATGTGAACGTGACACACAAATAGGCCCGTCTTTTTCTGCTCCAGCACATCTCATAGTTGGAAGGGGGGGATACTATGCAACGCTGCTAGAGACGAGGTTATGTATGTATGTAAGGGGTGGGCCACAAAAACCGGCCCCACACTGCGACCTTCAGTGATCTATTACCTACCGAGGTTATATATAGCGTAGACTGATGCGATGGTTTGAGAATGATGAATTGGGAGTAATTTGAAAGGAAGTTGTCGTTGCCTAACCGAGATGCTACGTCAGCATCCGTGTAGAAGGGCTGAAGAAAATCACGAAAATCCTCTCATCAGGATAACCTGTATCTTGGCCGAATTCTAACCGAGCACCTCTCCCATGACTTGATGTGACTTAGCTCCTATAGTTCCGAGTGGAACATAGGGCTCCTGTGAAGCTTCTCCATCTTCTCCTCTAGTTTGCCAGTGCCAGTTCTCCTATTTCCCCTTCTATCGTCCTTCTCCAAGTTTCCGTGGCCGTCCTCTCCTTGCAGCATCTTGGAGGTTCCAATCTAATGCACCTTTCTCTATGGCGCCAGCTGGTTTCCTTAAAATGTGTCCGACCCATCTTTCTAATTTTGATGTCAATTGGTTCTTGTTTTGTGATTTCCTACAGTCATTTTATATTGTGTCTGGCTTTCTTATGTTTAAAATAATGGTCCCACCATAGCTCAAGCGGTTAGTCGTTGGCGTCCCACCGCGGAGGCCCGGGTTCGAACACGTGTCTCGTCAAGTGGGATTTGTGGTGGACAAAGTGGGGCTAGGGCTGGTTTTCTCCGAATATTTTGGTTTCCCTTGCAAATCTTCATTCCACCAAATTTCCGTCATCATAATCACCCGGGGCTGGTACAATAGCCCGATAAGTGACTGACGTGCCAAGTGGACCCAGCTGGACTCCACCCCTACTATGCGAATAAAAGAAATGTTTAAAATATATCTTAAACATCTATTTACAAAGCTTTGTAATTTGTTAAGTTTTTGTTAATACTTTCCATGTTTCACAGGCATAAAAGAGAACGGGTTTTAAATTAGTATTAAAAATTTGTAATTTAGTTATCTTTGAACCTCTCGCATACAAATGTACAATGTTACGGCTAGACTAACCAGTTCGGCCACGAGATGTTGCTGCATGAACGAGAGGCTGTGATGGTACTGCACTGATCGATTTGCAAGATGAGCAACTGACGTGACTGGAGGTTGCCATTAGATGTGCGGGTTGCCGCTAATCTCCTCCTTCATCAATCTTGTGCAAATACGTAACGGAACTAGAAATTTACATTTCGAATACCGACATATTCCAGGAAACCGATTTTCATACATTTCACGTAAAACAGACACAAAGCTACTTGTTTGTTTTCCTACAAGCCTACTTCTCTTTCAGAAAACCATTCTTACAAAGATGGGGGCATACTTCGTATCAAAAACTACGTAAGTTTCATTTCTTTAACATTGCCTTGCTAAAGTAAATGACACTAATACAATTGCTAAATTGAACTGATAAAAATTTCTGCTTCATATTATTAACATCTCGGACTTACGTCTCCCCTTGGAGACTCGCTATCTA